GGATCGAGCACGCCACGGAGTAAATCACCCCTTCTACCGGCACGGCGGCTGCGGCCGTTAGTCAGTTCGGTAGGGACGGCCTCTTCAGTCTCATCCTCTTCCGATACATCTTGCAGCCTCGGTAGACGACCTTCCAATTCTTCCTCGGGAATATCGAAGAATGCAGGGATGAATGTCTCGAAGAAGTCGGCAATACGCTCCTTTTCTGGCACGCTATGCTGACCACTGCTGACAGTGTAGAGCATCATCAGACGAAGCAGCTCAACGACAACCTTCTTGTCGTTGAAGTCCCAAACCAACTGATGACGCGGGGCTTTGCCCTTCAAGCTGCGCTGGCGCCTCTGCTCCTCGGCCTTCGTCTTGATGACGTCGACAAGGTGTTTAGCTGAGAGGTTCCTCTTGTCGGTCTGCTTGACGAGGATGCCCATATGGTCGAGACTCTTGAGGTGCATGTGCTCAACTTGAGCATGCCACACCTTCTCCCATTCACGCTGTGAGAAGCGCCATTCCTCATCCTTTTGCTTCATTCTGGTCAACACAATCGGGACTACATTCAGCGGGTTGCTGAACAAGTCGTTGACGACTTCGGGACCCTTTTCACCATAAATCTTCTTGCAGACACGCTTGAAGACCGAGGTACTGTGTCCAGCCAAAGCCTGCGGCATCTGGAAGTGCTCTCTCTCCGCAGGCGACATGACGCTGATTTGCTGGGCGACAGGCTCCAAGAGTTGGATGCACTTGAGGTTTGCCTCGATATTGAAGTCGTAGTCATGGCGTTCTTCCTCGATGCGATGCAAACCCTCTTCGAAGCCGTTCTTACGATGCGCGACAAATCCGGAATCTTCAGAGGCCCAGGTTGGGTGCGACGCCCAGTCGTCGTTCAACACGGAATTGCAGAGTTCATCGCGGCCGCTGCAAGGCTTGAGACGCTCCTGATTAATGGTTAGCGAGTGCAAATAAGACAACGAGTCTGGCTGACATACCCTTTTGGGAAGAAGACGATAACTAGGCCCATAGCCTCGGCAGTTGCTTAATGACACTTTGCCGCTCGGAGGCGCGGGTCTGTTATCGACGATTTCGTCATGCGGCTCGTACTTGAGGAACGCCTTCCAGAAACCTAACAGCTCGGGATTTGCGGCAAAGAAGACGCTGCCCTTGTGAAACACTGTGTTGCGGTCGATGATGGATTGACTGAACAAGTTGCAGACTTTGAGAAACTCGTTGAAAGACGTCTTGTTGCTGAGGTACTTCTTAACCTTCTCGAAGAAGGCGATCTCATCAGAGTTCGAGGTGGTCGACGCGGGAGGTCCCAAAGGCTCTGGCAATATCGGCGTCAGTGTCGGCTCAACCGCGGGGGCATCGGAAGCCAGCGCCTTGTTGTGAGACATCTTGGTTCGCTTGTTGTTGACGGCCGCAGGGGGAGGAGCGCTAGTAACAGCTCGGTTGGCTGAGACAGCAGCCTCCACGATGGGCGGCGCAGGAACGGGCGTCTGCTTGTCAGTTCTAGGTCGCTTCTTGTTGTTCTCCTTGGAGGCACTTGGGGGAGCAAAGCTTCCCAAGGGAGGCATCTTCTGGCCGCTCATAGTCGGCTGAGGTGTTTGGTTAGGGCCAGGGCCAGGCGGAAGCTCATCGCCAGGCCGTCCGGGTGTTCCCTTTCCTCCTTGTCCAGCAGATTCGGGCAAAAACTGCTTGAAATCTTCGAGTAGGTCAGGTGCAGTGTGGAACAAAGTCGTGACTTGGGCGTACACGTCCTGGATCGGCTTTTGTTCGCGCTGATAAGTCTGGAGAATTTCAAGGAATTGTTTGTAAATCTCAGGCTTATCCTGAAAGCGGTTCTGCGGCGTGGTTAGTGCGCGAGGCCTCAGACTGGAGCGGGATATGGATAGCAAGAAAAAAGTCCAGTTAGACTGACCTTGATTTTGTTCACGTAGCTGATGGCATGGTTGAACTCTACCGGCCCACGGCGCTCCAGGTTTGCCTGTTGTTGTTGCTGGTTGGTCGCGCCGTTCAGATTTGCGGGTCCCGTTACCGGAGTAGGGGTCTGCGCATTGCGAGGAGGCTGCTGCGCGTTGTTCGCGTGGGCAGCGCCTTGCGCCGGAGGACCACGCTGCTGACTTCCACCAGGACCCTCGAAAGGCGCGACGTGACCCTGATTCATAAACGCAGGCGCACTAAAGTTCGCTTCAGGGCTCTCGATGCTGTGTTGCGGCTGCTGGGGCGGCGGTTGTTGTTGCTGTTGCTGCTGCTGAGGCTGCTGCTGCTGCTGTTGCCAATTGTTTCCACGCTGAGGAAAGAGCGGCTGAGAAGCACCGTTAGGGTGTGGATGACCTTCAACCTGCGTTCCTCGGCCAGCAATGGACTGAACAGTTGTGCCCATAGGGGTGGTGACCCTGATGGTGTTAGGGTCGTTGCCAGCGCCGCATTCAATCCGGTATCCTGGTGGTAGGAAGGTATTGAAGCCCTGGATTAGGTTCGGATGACCAGCGAATAGCTCCGAGACGCGATTGATGACCCCAGGAGTGTCAATGCTGCTTTGGTCAGTTGTGTCACCTGAACAACGGATTAATCACATACGCCTGGCTTTTGAAGTCTTTCATAATGTCGAGGAACCGATTGTACACGTCTGGCTGGTCGTGGAACTGTACCTTGACCTGGTCAAGATACGTCAAGGCATCCTACCATTCATAGTTAGCTCTGACCGATGACAAACAAAACATTTAACCCGAAACCAAGCTTTACTTTGACCATGATGGGCGTATCCATGACCGCGGTTGCATTGGGTTTGCAGGCTACAGAGAGGAGAATTTGATGCGCATGGTTCTGGGGGGGAACTGGGTAGATGGGAAGATGATGAAGACAAGGCGATGCGCAAATGGACGTAGCGAGATGGAAGGACGGAATATGCACGCGGGGCGGCACTGCATCCTGCCTGGGCAACATGCGCCGTATCGGCGCACCAGCCCACATCGGTTTCCACTTTGGATGCGTCCAGCCACAGGTAAGAGCATCGGCAAAGGGTTCGCGGCTGCCTCCTTCTTCATCTGGCAAGTTTACAAATGACTTATTTCAACTTACATTCAAGATGGGTTGTTGGCCTTGGGCAATGCCGCCTTGGCCTTGCTGACCTGGCGGCCCTTGACTTTGACCGCCAGCAGCACCGGGGGCAGCGCCTCCAGTATTTCCACCACTGCCACCGAAAGGAGGTCCTTGTTGCATCGGAGGTTGGCCCTCGCGCTGCTGTAGCGGCCCCCCAAAAACAGGTGGACCACCGCTGGCAGTGCCTAGGGAGTTACTGGGGGGGACGGTCGTGTGCGGGATCGGCGCGAACATCTGGTGCTGGGTATTGGGGTTATTCGGACCCCCGTGCGGCGGAGGTCTACTGTTATCGGGTTGAAGGGGACCGCCGAAGTTCGCGCCAGGCCCCGAGGGGGCGCCGAGAGGCATGGGCGGTCCGGACGAGCCTGAGCCGTGGTTTGCGAGCAGGCCGCCGGGGCTGTGGATTGCGCCCATCGCGCGAGATGCGACGGGCTGGTGTATGGGGATAGAGCCAGCATTGCTGTGATGGGGTGGGCCGGGGGGGTAGCCGTCTCGGCGGCGTCTCTCGGCTTGTTCTTGTTCGCGTCGTTCCATTTCTTCAGCTTCTTGGAGGCGGCGACGATTTTCGGCCTCGCGCTCGTAGGCGTCCACCTCGTCAGCGGGTTTCCCGCTCATCATCCTGAGATCGATCGTCCTTTTCCACTCCGGACGTTAGCGACGCGTTGGCATATAGAGTAGAGAGAAGGTAGGGTAGAGAGGGGTTGTCCTCAGTTGCGCCCGAAGAGTCTGAGGGGGGTGGCTGGACTCTGCAACCGCGCAAGCTTTGCTTCGCCCGCCAGTCCTCTGCGACCGAGGATTGTGTCGAGACTGAAGACACTTACAGACTGATGCTACCAATGGTATGATGTCTACATGGGGATCCAACGTCTTATCTCAGATTACAGTATCGTAGATCTACGAGGACGTCACGTAGGTAGGGAAAATTCGTAGTGGTCTCCAAGCTTGGAAGCTGCTGCTCAAACCCCTTCGCGGCTGATTGGAATGAAGCCCCCAAGTGCGGCTTCTTCCGCACATCACGTGCAGATAACGATCTTATCATGCTCGGTCCACTTTTATGTCCGAATGGCAAAAGCAGTCTTTCTTCCTCTCAAATTGTGCCGACAGCTTAGTATTAATGCTGCAAACTTGACAATGTGAGGAGTTTCCTCGCGCCTCTGCTGTCACTTACAGTCCGATTTGATCGTTCCTGTTTTGTAAGGTTGAATGTCTTCTTGGCAACGTGATTGTTTAATTTTCTTTGAATAAGATGAAACGATGCTTTCACCTGGATGGATTAACTAAAACCTCGAGCTTTACGATTTCGGGTCACTGTGTGGACAGGCAGAAGGGTGTTGAGTTTGGTTCGCACAATGACTGGTCTTTCAAAATAGCTCCCTTGTGAATTCTTGATGTATTTTAATCTTGAACTTTCTCTTCTGCGTAGCATGACTTCCAATCGATTCCGATTGTTTGCCTGAACTGTGTAGGTGGGTGCCTTGAAGAAGTAATAAACATTATTGTATGTCTTGTATTCTATCGTGTCGTTTGGATATTCGTTTACTATTCTTCGCTGATCATTCATCTACCTATTCATCCACGCTTTAATTGCCGATTCATCAAACAAAAGCAAAAGCTAACAACTCAGCAAAAGCTCAGCCCCCTATAGGGAGCTTACGAAAGATCCGAGGAGACTCTTACCAGCCTCAAGTGTAACGATGCAAGGATTTTTACAAGTAGAAAACGGGACTCGAACCCGTGACCCGTGGGAGCGCGGCAATTCAGAACGAGCTAACATTCCCCGCCACACCACGGGCCTTGGTGACGATAATAAACAAATTTGTATCCTATAGAGGGTATTGGGGTGGCCGTTCCAGCGGACTCTCGCTCATGGCTCATAGCTCATAGGGAAGTCTGACTACGGTACCTTAGGCATAGTTCCGTACCTCCTTGATAATCCACTATGTGCGATGGTTACTCACAGTCCGACGAGGTAAACCGTACGGGATGTTAAAGAAAGCATTGGGATCACATACCACTTCGCCATTGGCAACAGTACTCGCCACACTTACTACCTCAATATTACCAGGCTGGATCTAAACTATTCGTCAGTTTCCCAATATGGACATAATTGATAACAAAACAGAAAAGGAAAGAAAGGGACAGCATGGTATCGACTTACGAACTTAACACCGTCTTTGGTCTCCCACCACACATCCCTATCATCACCAATCGTCTTGGCCTTTGTATTCTCAGGCCACGGGCTCACGCCAACCATGTGCGCCTCAACAAACCGCTGAATGTTCCTCTGCGCCTTATCCCTGCCGTCGTCGCCCTCGTAGGCGTCGGCGCCGAGCTGCTGGTAGTCGCGGGGATCCTCCCACGGTTTCCGCGGCAGCTTCTCGACGGCCGAGTTGAGGGGCGCCAGCACGGTGGTGTTGCGCCCTTGGTCGTCGAGGCGGCGCGAGGCGGATTCGATGTCGCGCGTGAAGCCGGCGAAGACGTTGATACTCCGGTCACGGCCCATTACGTCGGAGAGCCTCACGCCTCCTCCTCCTCCGTCTTGGCCCGGGCCGGAAGAGGAGGGGGGGTCTGAGGGCAGCGGTGGTGGCATGGCTGGACCGGGGGCGGGGTCTACGGATTCTACGATGGGTTTCTGGCGGAAGAAGCGGGGTGCGTATCCGTTGAGGCCGGAGCGTTCGACGGGGAGGGATCTGAGCTGGGCCGTCACTACGGTGCAGGTCAAGAGAAGTATTATGGCGGTGGGCCGTCTCATTATGCTTCTTGTTCTTTGGGAATGGGGAATTTGTGTATCGAATTAAGATTCCCGTCGTCGCAGTTCAGGAATGCAGCAATGCAGTTGCACTTGCCTTGGAAACTACTACACTGATGGCGCGCGTCACTTTCACGTCGGATGCGGCTTCGCGGCCTTGGATTTTCCCCACGGGACCAGATTTTTGGAAATCTAAGGGCGACGATTGGCTGCATGATAGGATGACATCACCCATGCTCCGATGCTGCGCAGGGCGGTGCTCTCCGCCAGCAGGAACACCTGCGACTCGTTTGTGGGAAGGTACTTTGCTCGCTGTAAGGCACACCAAACCAGCAGCAAAAGCGCAACCGCCTCACACCACGTGATGCTCGATCAACGAGGCAAGTCGCAAAACGCTTACTTTCCGAAGATGCCTTCACGATGCGGAAGCGAGTTCTATCTTTTGTTCCTGCGTTGCCGACGGATGAGCGCACTCGCCGAGATACACCGAAGACGGCAGCCCAATAACCCCAGGTATTCTCTACTATTTTGTCTCACAGAAGGGAGCGATTGCGGAGACGGGCAGCCGTTCCCCACACTTTTCTCAATCCGCGGGTTTCCTTCTGGCACAGGTGAGTTGAGGTGAGGATGCGCGAAACGGCAGTCGGGGCAGTCGGGAATTATTGCTGCATTTGAACGAGAAAGACTGGCTGGGAGAACCCTATGCCTCAGCAATCAGCGACAAAAAACGATGCAAGGCCACCACTAGCAATTATACCAATAGTTTGGTTTTTATTATCCTCAGGAATCAATAAAGCTTCTCATGAATCATGAGAGGCTGAATTGGAAACCAAGTCGATGGGATAGGTGGCAAGTTTCTGTATGGGGGGGTTTTACGGTCAACGAAGCTTGAGCACCTGACACATCTAGGCTTTTGCTCCGTCCTGCCGCTTTCCCCAAAGAATGCCCCCTTTCACATGCGAAAAAAAAAGATGTACGGCCTGGGTTCCCCAGACCAGCCCAGTCAGCCCAGTACCAGCCCCCAAGCACGACTCCAAGAAAGAAGTCCTTGGAGCCGGAAATGGCCCGTGAGAGGAAGGGGATTTGTACTGTACTACTGTGTATTCGACTATCTTCGTACGAGTGCGGAGGAATAAGCTGGACTGGAATGCAGGCCGAAAGTGGTCGCCCAGCAGCGGCAAGGGAAAAGAGGGGACGGCAATGCGAGTAGATCCTCGGTCAGGTGCTAAAAGTTCCGGACCGGTCAATCATCTGACCTGCACCTCTTGTGTGGGGGATTAGGTGGGAGGGGACCTAGTGAGACTACGGTACCTACAGTCCTACACAGTACGTGGTGGCTATGCCTCTCTTGCACGTAGCTACACTCGTGGAGATTCGACGGCGCCTTGAGAATTGCGCTCGACCAGCCGCAGCCTCAATGCAGCCGCACAGTCTTGAGGGGCAGAAGGGGCTGGGGAAGGGTTTTGGAACGTGTCCCATGGCATGGGGCATCGCAGGCGGCGGGTTTATGCCCGTGAAAGATGTCGATTACCCGTTCACCTTGTTGACACGAGGCATGTGGTACGCACCCAAGGTTGTGGGGAGAGCGGGAAGGCGACGGGACGCCAATCGCTGGTCAGAGATTCGACGGCAGACGTTTAGTTTTGGTAGCCTCTCAGACGGGAAGACAGGCGGTTCGAGGTTCAGTCAGCTGCATGAGCTCGAGCACGAGGGTAAGCCCGTGACCTTGGATGCACCTTGGGTGGAAGTGGTAAATGAGTGGCCTTCACATGTCAGAGGCGAACGATGGACGGCTCGAAAAGTCCTGAAACTGTCACAAAATTCTTCATGGCCTTTTCTGCGGCAGCTTACTCCAACAATTTGACTCGTGAAAGTGTACTTACCTACACAGTTGGAGCTAAGGCTGGCGCAGGCGTGGCAGGTGAACCGGTCTGCCATCCCTTCTCGAGAGAGCCTCAATTGCATCTTTTGAGGTTTTTGGGTCAAACGTCTTCAACATGTCTAGGTACTGTGTAATGCCCTCTCTTCCGTTGGTCAGTTCGGTAAACGGAGCGCAGAGGTACCTCAGTAATAGACGGGGAACCTTTAGTAGCCAGACGGGGAATTCGAGACTTTTAGAACATCCCCCACAGTTTCCCCCAGTTTTGCAGGTCGCGGTCCACCACCGAGGAAAGCGAACGCGGGCCCAGTCTCGGCCAGAATTACTGCGAGAAGCCAACGAGTGTCTGGGGTCTCTTCATGCTAGAGGAGCAGTTCAGTTGCAATGCCCTCCGCAGACCGGACGCAATTGCCTGTTCGTAGTTGATAGACACAACATGGAGGAAACTTTTCTCACGATGCGCAATTGGGGAAATAAACTGCACATGGAAGACAAGACTCAATTGAGATTCCATCTCTCTCGTCGCTCTCGGCTTCCCCACACCTGTACCTAAGAAAAAAAAGGTGTCCCATTGTTCCTCGGACCACTGCCACCACTTGACCAAAAGGCTCATTCTTACTGGTACGTTCATCTGCCTCCCCCCGTTTAGTGACGCCAATTCTCCTCCCCCAGGGCCCCAGACCGTCCCTTTCCCCGACCCCCAACTCTGAGTCTCTGACCCAAACTCGGCCCAAAACTGACTAGCACCGCGGGCAAGCCCAGTCGTGGACTCGTGTGCCATGGAAGTCCCCAGTGCGAAGTTGCCCCCCCTGGTTTCTGGTTTTCCCACCGGCGCTTCGACCTCGGCTCACGAATCGCCGTGTCAGCGACCTTTCTGCCACTCCCTCCCATCTGCGCGCACCACCTCACGCAACCAGAACAAGTCGTCTCCGTAAGGTATGTACCACTGTCCCACTGCACCGTACCATACGGTACGAAGTATACCCCCCCCCCCCAGGTCCCTTGCGGAGCGGATACCACTACCACCTGCACCTGCCTTCGGCCCCAGACCCGCGTCGTCCTTGTGCCTTTGTCCCCATCTTCCCTCGGCGTAGCAACAAGACGAAAGGCACCGCTCCTCTTCTCGTTTTCTTCTTAAACCTCTCCATCCAAACTCTCTTCCTCCCCCACCATCTTTCCTCTTCCCCATCTTCTTTGTTTGTTCTCCATCCTGTCCTCTGGAGCGCATCAATACCATCACATCAATCAAAATGGCACCCAGAGTTATCGTCGTTGGCGGTGGTCGTAAGTTACCTCAGCCCCTTCTTCCTGCTCCCACCTCCGCCTCTCAGTCTTACCACTCTCTCTGCCGCGGCCAATCTCGGCCTCGTCTTACCCACTCACATGCTAATCCGTGCCAGTGTCTGGCTTGAGTGCCGCGCATACCATCTACCTCGCGGGAGGCAACGTTGTCGTTCTCGACAAGCAGGGTAAGTCTAATAAACCCATTACTATTACGCTGCTTGTGATTGTCGCAAAGCTTACGCTCCTACTATGTAGGCTTCTTCGGAGGCAACTCCACAAAGGCCACCTCTGGCATCAACGGTGCCTTGACGCGGACACAGGTCGACACAGGAATTGCCGACAGCGTCAAGCAGTTCTATGATGATACCCTCAAGTCTGCTCGTGACAAGGCCCGCCCCGACCTCATCAAGGTCCTTACCTACAAGTCCGCTGCTGCCGTCGAATGGCTTCAGGATGTCTTCAACCTGGACCTTACTCTCGTTTCGCGGTTAGGGTAAGTCAATCGCAGAGGCCCAATATCAAAATTTCCTCAGGTCCTAACCTATCCTACAGAGGTCACTCCCAGCCCCGTACCCACCGTGGTCACGATGCCAAGTTCCCTGGTATGGCCATCACATATGCCCTCATGCAGAGACTCGAGGAGCTCGCCGAGACCGAGCCCGAGCGTGTCGAGATCATCAAGAAGGCCCGCGTTACCGGCCTGAACAAGGACGGCAACACCATCACTGGTGTTTCATACGAGTTCAACGGCGAGGAGCAAAAGGTTGATGGACCCGTCATTCTTGCCACCGGTGGTTACGCTGCCGACTTTGGCGAGACCTCCCTTCTCAAGAAGCACCGTCCCGATACCTTCGGCCTCGCCACCACCAACGGCACCCACGCCACTGGTGACGGTCAGAAGATGGTCATGGCCATCGGCGGTAACGGTATTGACATGGACAAGGTCCAGGTCCACCCTACCGGTCTGGTTGACCCCAAGGACCCCGGCTCCAAGTGGAAGTTCTTGGCTGCTGAGGCCCTTCGTGGTGAGGGTGGTCTCCTTCTCAACGCCGACGGTGACCGTTTCTGCGACGAGCTTGGTCACCGTGACTATGTCTCCGGCATGATGTGGAAGGAGAAGGACAAGAACAAGTTCCCCATCAGACTCATTCTCAACTCCAAGGCCTCCAAGGTCCTTGACTTCCACACTCGCCACTACTCTGGCCGTGGTCTGATGAAGAAGATGACCGGTGCCGAGCTGGCCAAAGAGATTGGCTGCTCCCCCGACCACCTCCAGAAGACCTTCACCACCTACAACGCCATTGCCGACGGCAAGCAGAAGGACCCTTGGGGCAAGAAGTTCTTCCACAACCTGCCCGTCGACATCAACGATGACTTCCACGTCGCGCTGATGGAGCCTGTTCTTCACTTCACCATGGGTGGTATCGAGATCAACGACAAGGCCCAGGTCTTGAACAGCGAGCAGAAGCCCTTCGACGGTCTGTTCGCCTGCGGTGAGCTTGCTGGTGGTGTTCACGGTGCCAACCGTCTCGGTGGTTCTTCCCTACTTGGCTGTGTCGTCTACGGCCGTGTTGCCGGTGACACCGCTAGCAACTACCTCTTCCAGCAGGCCCTTAACGGCGTAGGAGGTGCCACCTCCCGTCTCGGCCAGATCTCACTGCACCTGGACCCCGCCCAGCCTGGTCGCGTCACGATCGACTGGAACAACGGTGGTGGCTCTGGCGGCCAGGGTATCCCTGCCCAGCAGACCACATCTGCCGCCGGCCCCACGCCCGAGAAGGCGGACGGCCAGAAGGCTTCCAAGCCCAACAACCCCAAGGAGTTCTCCGTTCCCGAGAAG